CAGTTTCCCCATAAACGGGTTGAGCATAGAGAAATTCCTTAATGATGTCAATGTGCAAATAAAAATTAAAATCAGACGCTAGTTGCCCTAAGAAGCATTGGTATTTTTAGCCTGTTTAATGTTAAAGTTGCTGCTAATTCTGCTGTGACTTGCAGGAGAATATGAAAAAAAGGCCAACAGTCCCACTGCAGGTGATGTAATCTGGCTGGGAACACTGCTCCAATTTTCTTTCTCTGCTCTAAAACCAGCACAGTAATGTGCAAGACTCTTTGCATTACCAAAGTATCTTCAGCTGCATGCAGCTTCTCTGCCCACAATAAGCAACCAAGCATGTCATAAGGATAATTATGCTACAAGGATGCCTTAGGATAAAGCCTGCTTTGCCAAATCCAGTTTCCAACCTTTCAATTTAAATACTCCTCTCATGAAAGAACCATATTTTTCCAACAGCTAGTGAGAACTGACAGAACTTCATACTCACAAGTGGGAATAAATAAACACAAGAAAAACCTCAGATAGGGATATGCATAATCTTTCCTCATTTTTAATCTAAATCATGTCAAATTGGTGATCTATAACCAGAATGGCAGGGCACAGCTTCTTTCATTATTAACAGGAATTCATATAAATATCTACTATAATATAAAGACAATGATTATATATTTTCTGACTGTACATTACCATCCCATGTCATTCAGTTTTCATTTGGCATGAAAAATACCTTAGCATATTTTGACAAATACAAAATTTTTGTTGTACTGACTTTTTTTTCTTATGACAAAAGAAAAGCAGCCATGTATGGTGGTGCACACCTGTAATCCTAGCATTTGGGAAACTGAGGCAAAGAGGATCTCAAGTTCAAGGCCAGCCTGGGGTACACAGTGCGTTCCAGGCCAGCCTGAAGTATATATATCATCAGACCCTCTTTCAAAAAAAAAAAATGGAAAAAAGCAACTTATATCATTCTTAAATCTCTGATTTAGAGACATTCATTTACATGTGGCACATAAAGACTTAAAACCTATTTGTTCAATTTAACCAAAGTCAAAATTCACATAGCTACTGATGGATGTGGTATTTTATCTTTCAAAGAAATGTCAGTGTAGATTTGGAAGAAAAATTAAAACTCTTACTTGGTGTATTTGCTTATACTTTTATTCTATCCATTTTCCACTCATACATTGATTTTGAGCCTCACTTGTGGTTCATAATTCTGACTACATGATACAATCACCTCAGAAACTTAACTGATATCTGAACTCCACTCTAGTCCTGTTGGATCTAAATTCCTTAGGGGAGACCTAAATATGTTTTAATGGCCCAGTGATTCCAATATTAAAACAAGATTGAGAACCACTAGACCAAACAAAAATCACACAAAACAAAAACAAAACCTAACTATAAAGCATGTTCTTTAAAAGTTTATATGCTAATTTATATGTATGTCTATACTCTAAGATGTTAGGTATACACAGCTGAATAAAATGCACCTTTTAAGGCAAACATTTTAATGTATCTTAACTACAATAGGACAAATACATGCTGAGGGTACTATGATTACAGCACCAAAGAACTACATCTGTTTAACAATGGGGGCAAGGTTAAGTACAGGGGTCCTGAAAATCTAGGGGGAAAGGGGATAACCACGGATAATCAGGAATTACGCAGAAAAAAGGATAGGGACAAGATCTAGGCACTGAGCGGAGAAGATAACAAAAATAAAATGTTATGATGTAGTTTAGAGGTAGAAAGTTTGAATAATATGCACAAAGCTGTGGGTTTGGTCCTCAACACACACACACAAAAAAAAAAAAAAATCTGAGAGAGAAAAACAAAAGCAAAAAAGATCTAGGAGACAACCACCAAAATTACTCATGTTTGATACTAGCATTAAAGTACTTGGCATAAAAATAAGAGTAAACAGGAAGGTGGCAGAGAAAAAGCATGGAAGTCTTTGTGCACCACAGTGAGGAGCTTGTAGGTGACGCGCACGGGAGGAACAAGCAGCCTGCAGAAGAGCAGCAACAGTGGACATTCCCTGAGCGCACACTGCGTGTCCTGCTGCACACTCTGAGCTCCCGTGCTGTCTCCATGCCCCCTCCCATTGCCACAGCTCGGTGGTAGACACTGTTATCTTTATTTTACACAAGATGCTTTGCTTTTTGAGATGTTTTTTTTACTACCTTATTCAAGTAACAAAAGAAGGGATTTAAAAACAATTCTGAGCCCTGATGCCAAGCTTTTAACCTTTCAACCAGAAGTAGAGGTTAAAGGCTAACAAACTGCTTAGAAAACTTACATATTACCATCCTACATCAGACACAATTGGGGCAGTCACAGTACATCTGAAGAAGAGGGAACAGCTTCCAGAAATATTTACAAGTTTTAAAAATTATCAAACCCACATGATTCAACCAGGCATAGTGAGGAACACAAGTAATCTCAGCCACCCTGGGCTGAGACAGGAAGATCACAAGTTTGAGGAAAGTGTGGACAATTTAGCAAGATGCTGTCTCAAAGAAATAAAAAGGGATAGGGGTGTAGTTCAGTGTGAGACTGTGGATTCTTTCCCCAGGACTGGAAAAAAAAAATCAAAATGATTCAGCTTTTAAAGATTATGAAATTCTGGTACACGTAACAATATGGATGAATATAAAAACATCATGCTAAGTGATATAAGACAATCACAAAAAGACAAATATTTATAATTCTATTTATAAGGTATATAGAAAAGCCAAATGCACACAGATAGAGAATAGGCCAAAAGTTACAGAAAGGTGAATCAAAAGCTGTCAGAAACACAGTTTTTTCAGGAATACAAATTTATGGGACTGTATGAAGGTTAAATAAACCTGCACTGATCCTTAAGATAGTGAGGAGTCACAGGAAAAGTAAGCAAGCACAACTAATTATAACCTACTTTAAGCTACTTATAAAGAAAAACTAGTCATACATGGTTTCAAAATTCCATATTTCATAAACTTCCATATTGCTAACAAATTAAAGTATCCTATAATAAATAAGGAGATGTTTTACAAGGTAATACAATACTCTTACATGTTTAAATTTTGCTTTAGATATAGACCTATTTAAAACTAATAGGCAAGTTATATAAAAGTTAGTTTATAACAAACACAAAGCATAAAACTACTGATCTGAAGCTTGCTATGACGTCAAAACTAAGTCCTCTACAAACATCATCTCTGAATATTTTAAAACTTATGAGGTTGATACTATACCTAGTTTTCAAACTATAAATGAATTTCAGAAAGTAACATTCCATTGTCTATAAATGGCAAATCTGGAATTTGAACATATTGTGGCTTCAAAGCAATCATTTCCTTCTAAAAAATCCTTAATATCCCTCAATTATTTTCTCATAGCAGAAAAATTCATGATGACATTTAATATGTAGTGATAGAGTAAGTCCTTGCTCATCACACCAAAAATCTGCAAAATTCATACAGAATCCAGGAAAAAAATGCCTTCAAATATACACACATTTTAGATTTATAACTGTTTATCTCAAAACATTTCATGACTATTTCTTTAGCCTATATTTACTCTTGAATTTTACATACTATGTAGAAAATATCAGGAAAATACTCAAAAGAACACATTTTGATCTTAATACTTTATACCAAAATTAAAAACAAACTTGCAAAAAGATCTTGACAAGTTTTATCAAACTCTGAAATAGTCTAAAGTAGATCAAATAGTATTTAATATTTAGATTTAGTTATTAATATTTGAAATTCTCAAAGTAAGTTTCTAACAGACTTTGTTTATAGGCTTTCTTGGTCCTGTATATATTTCCCCTACCTAGGGGACTTTAAATATCCTGAAAATAAAATATTAATATGATATTTAACAGTCGTTGCTATAAACTCGCATAGTAGTTCTCAATGATGACTAATCCATTAGCAAGAGCATAAACTTTCTCACATTGCATGAATGGAATTAGCCATAGGACATAATTTGTATTTGTAGAAAGTTAATGCAATTCTTTTATAGTATTGGAGACTGAACCCACGGCCTCCTCACTGAACTACATTTACAGCCCTTTTTCAATTTTCATCTTGAGCCACGGTCTTGCTGGGCCACTATGTTGCCCAGACTGTGCTCAAACTTGCAATCCTCCTGCTTCAGCGTCAGAGTCCTTGGATTACAGGCATGGCCACCATACAGTTATAATGTAATACTGTTTCTAATTTTTATGATCCAAAAATCTCCATGAATACTTCTTTCATCACTGTGAGTTCCTTGGAAATTAATAATGCAGACTTATTTTTACTGTGGAAAGTTAAGAAGCAGTTTTTTTTCCAGTGGTTTGCATTCCAGAAAAAATTATGTAAAACTAGTATTTTAGAAACAAAATTACAAGCCAGATAATTCCTCATGGGGAGAAAATTTTCATATGTGAGTTCAAGAAAAGTAGATAACAAAAGGAAAAAATGTGTTGAGGTCTTCTGTATCTTAAGTAAAAATGAATAATCTCAAAGTATTCATTAAATTACCAGGATAAATTTCTAAACCTTAACTTTTACTTGCGCATACACATAAATACACACACACACACACACATACACACACACACACACACAAAGAAAAAAAAAACAATTTAACAAGCATTGGGCTGGGATGTGGCTTAATGGTAGAGCACTACCTAACCTAGCAAGTGTAAGGCCCTAGGTTCAAGCTCCAGCACCACAAAAAACAAGCAAAATAATGCATGCAACGTAAATGAGGGATAAAATAGATTACTGTAAAAACAAATGCATCTTCTTTAAATTACTCTGACTCATCATTTGAAATTAAACGCTTAGAAATGCTCAGTATGACTATTTTAAGACTCAATGGTTATATTTAAAATAACAATAAGGAGATAATTTTCCAAGAAAAAAACAAAAGATACAACTCTGATCAAGAGAAACTCAGGAAGTCTGATCACTGGCCAGTTCCTACTCCCTCAGACCAAGAAGCCCAACACAGAACCGTACCTCCTTGGATACAGGTAGGCTGCTGGGTTCTGCCGCCTCTCCTGGCCGGTTTGCAGAGTCACCACCATACCTACAATGTCTAGGAAGATGAGGCTGCGCGTCTGTCACCGGGTGGAGAAGCGTCCCCTGAGGGCATGCTGAGACAGGCCCACCGCGCAGATGTGGAGTCACTCGAGCAGGAACACTGAGCACCGGCTCCACGTGGGAATCCACGGGAGAGCCCCGAGAATGAAATCCGACGCCTGGCCCTTGGACACATGGAGAGTTCCCGTGCTGGCTCAACAAAGCCTCAGGCAGGCTGCCATGCTCTCTTCCGGGAGGCACAAATACACCACTGGTGGCACTGTCTAAGTGTTTCCTGTCCACGGGCACAGAATGCAGGACTGTGGGCTGCTGGAACACAGCTTCCATCCTCGGGGCCTTCTCAGGAGTCGCTGGAAGACACCACGGGCTCAACAGTGGAACACTGCCCTGTATGACTGAGGGCTGCCCGAGCTGCGGGAACACTTGAACTGGGTGCTGAAGGACACTTGGTCTTCCAGAAGTCTGCGCAACCATAACTGGCACGTTAACTTTATAAAGGTGACCTATAGAAGGAGAAAACAAAATGTAGTGAATTCTAGCGTCCTTAAAAAAGTATCTCCAACAAGCTGGGCAAAATACATCAGTAGTGATTATCGCCTGGAATTTGTCTTCTAATGTCCAGATTATTTTGTATTTTCTACAATAAATACGTATTATTTTTATTTTTAAAATCATATTTGCTTTACTTTACCTTTACTCTTTTCCTACTATTCTTTACATGACACATTCTGAGATACATACAGATCCCCAATATTTAATCCATGAACTTCTCCTATCACTTGATGAATTAAGATTAACTCAAAATGAAATTTTAACAAGCATGTAAAAATGCATTTCATAAATTTAAGATATCATTTTAAGAAAAGGCTATCAAAAAGAATTTAATAATTTCAACAGTTATTAAATTTCTTTCTTCCCTCTCTGAATAGTTCTGATACTCTATCAAAGACTATACTGCAGAGCTGGAGATTTAGCTCAGTGGTGTAAGTGCCTGCCTGGCAAGCACAAGGTCATGAGCTCAAATCCCCGGTACCAAAAAAAGAAAGACAATGCTGAAAAGCAGAGGTTGATTAACCTCTAAACTTCTGGGTGTCCTTTTCATTATGCTATGAAGCCTCTAACACAGAAGGAGACTATGGCCTAATCTTTACTTTTCCACAGTAAAAACTATCAGGAAAATAGATATACTCTTTAATTTTGTACTTGCTGAAATTTAGATAACTGACTTAAACTAGAAAAAATATATATCAAATACATATATATGTATTTATATACACATACATACATATATATAGACAGATAGATATATAGATAGATTATATAGATTATACAACCTCGAGAAAAAGAGGGGCTGGGGATTTAGCTCAGTGGCATAAGCGCCTGCCTTGCAAGCAGGCAGTCATGAGTTTGATCCCTGGTACAGATAAAAACGAAAAAGACCAAAAAAGAAAAAGAAAAGAAAAAGAATTGGGAATAAGTCACAGGACAGGCCTATGACACTGTCTTTTGCAACAGACTGCTTCAGTAACAGAAATAAGTGCCATTTATTCTTTTTTCAGTACTGCTAATGGAACCCAGAACCTTCACCTTGACCTATATCCTCATCTTTTTCTTTTTTTTTTAGGCAGAGTCTCACTAGATTGTCCCGGATAGGCTCAAACTTGCAGTCCTCCTGCCTCAGCCTCCCAGAGTGCTAGGATTACAGGCATGTGCCACCATGGCTGGTTGCTTATTAATCTTAAACTAGGTTTTATTAAAGGTTCCTATAATTTCTACCACAAGTCACTAACCATGAAATGTAACGTTCTTAAGTTAGTACTAATGCTAAAAACAAAGTATTCTTAGCATATTCTCTCACCAGATGCCGTCTGAAATGTCACACCTGCTGGTACATAAATGGGATAACCAGGAAAAGTAAAGCTTGCACTGGGGTTTGAGATGCCCTAGATATAAGAAATTAGATTAGAAAGTTAGATCCTTTTCCATATCATAAGAGATTCAAAAAATCTAACTCCAGACAGTAAGACTGTAACAGTTTGATGATATTTAACATTTAATGTTAGAGCTGAATTACTGGAGTAAAACAGGTTTTCATTTTTTATTTAGATCATTCCATCAAGAATAAAGAGGAATTCCATTGTGTGGTCACTAGAAATGAAGCCATGAATCTTAGGACAGAATGAACATGGCTCATCAAACTTTCCCAACACATAGTGGTGCCTCATTCTCAAGGTGTCAATATAAGAACCCCAGAGCCAGGTGTGGTGCCCCAACACTCGGGGAGGCTGAAGCAGGAGAATTACAAGTTCAAGCCCAACTTGGGAACTTAGCAATCCAGTTAAATCCTGAAAAATAAAATTTAAAAAGGACTAGAAATGTTGCTCAGTGAGAAGCTCAGGGTTCAAGCCCCAGTATTGCAAGGAGGAGGGGTGGGGGACATAGCTGGGCATTTTTAAGTTAGCTGTGATAATGCATAATGTGTAAAATAATAGAGTATAATCTGTTTTAGAATAATTGAACACCAGAGTATTAAAATAAACAGATGAATACAGAAAAGAGTTTGCCTATCTAATCTGTAAAGTTTAAGAGTGCTAAGTAGCATACATGGTTGATGAGGATTAGATAAAAACTAGTTTTCAGTTTATATGAGCATATATTGGCACATTCATTGGAAGGACAACTTCTCAATATTTGAAAATAGGTGTGACCCTAAGTGCAGAAATTCTGCTCCTAGGAATTTACCCATTATCACACAACTAGCAGATATGTATAAATATGATCAATAGGATGCTATATTAGAAAAAAACCTAGAAATAAATTTAAATGTCCACCAACAAAAAATTGGTTAAATAAAATGTGGTATATCCAGTAAGGTCAATCTGAAAGGAGTCCATCTATATCACTAAAGAAGGAAAGGAGAAAGGATAAATTATAGAAACAGTAAAGAAAGTGATCCTGCTTTTTATCCTAAAGAGTAGGAATGTAAGGGCTGCAGGACTTTTTGCATTTTACTTTATGAACTGTTTACTTGATAAATTGTTCATTTTTCATCAGGAAAAAAGGTAGCTCATGAATCCTAAGGGTAGAAATAGTTCACTGCTCTCCTCTCAAGCAGTGACAGTTTTTCAAAACTCCTGATGAAGGCTGGGGTTTCTGCTTGTTCTTAATGGAAAAATGGAAATAACTAGCCCATTAAATTTTATTATACTCTTAAAAAGAGAACCCACAGGCTGAAGGAAAATGAAAAAACAATGGATTATATACTATCAGTACCATGGATGAAAAGAAAAGTTAAAAACTGTTATTCTTTACCACCTGAAAAATCGTTCATTTTCTATTAATACTAATTTTATTTCCTGCCTAAAGTCTGAGGAGTAGAAGATAAACAGTACTTCACAAGATTACAAAATGACCAAAATATACCAGTTAAATACAGGGTGAAACTGTGAGGTCACTAGTTATGGAAGAAAAAAAATCAGCAAAAACATCATATCAATATTATCTATTTAAGGGGCTGGGGATTTAGCTCAGCAGCATAAGCGCTTGCCTTGCAAGCAGGCAGTCGTGAGTTCGATCCCTGGTACCGATAAAAACGAAAAAGACAAAAAAAAAAAATTATCTATTTAAGATCCACCAAGTATGTAATAGCATACAGTATATTAAACTTCCATTCTATATAACTCAGAAATTCCTTAACCTTGTAGGTATAGTCTTGGCAAATATTAACAACTACTTTGGAAGAAGAAAATGTTGATTCTGAATCTCCTGAGTTTTGTTATAATATAGAAACATTCCTATTTCTCATTCCTTACCGTATCTTTTCCCATTCACCCAAAGGATCATAAACTACACCTACGCCCAACATTCTTTCCCCGTTCCCTAAAAGTGGGGCACATGTTTTAAGATGTATTTTAAAGAAGCTACATACCAGTTCTGCTGTAGTGAAACCTGGAACAGTTCTATTAGCAGGAATAACTAATGACGCTGTGTAGAAAACAAAATAAATATTATGCATTCATTAGGATTTATTGATTTTTTAAGTACCAAACATAGATTTATTTTTTCAATATTTTCTACTATTAACATGTTCCATCACGATGAATTCTAAACTCCACATGAAGAAAATAGGATTTAATGATATTTTTTCCAGCAACTTTAAAGAAAGATTTAGTAACTAATCTCTTTCAAGTACCAAAAGGAAATATCTCACTATAATCATGCATACTACAGCATTCTTAACAAAACATGAAAATTGTCCTTTCCTCCCTTTTTTCATTTGAAAAAGGGTCTCACTGAGTCACCACGCTACGCAGGCAGAGCCTGAACTTGTAGTCCTTCTGTTTTGTCCACTCAGAACACTGGGATTAAGGCATTTGCCACCGCACCTCGCCCACATTCTCTTTAGTAAATCAATGGGGCACTAAATCTCCACTACAGCTTTTCATTGGCAAGACTAAGTAACACAGTGTTTGTTAAAGTGGTGCATTTCTAGGGGAATGTGCTATTGATCAAAAATATGCAACCCAACATAAATCCTCCCTAAATTTTATAAATTTCTATTCATTTATTTCATGAAAGCGTATTTACAGTACTTTGACCAAGTAAGCACGCACAGCTACACAGCGTTAGTAACAGATGAACAAGTGAGTTTGCAATGAGGTATGGCTATTAAGAAAAATATAAGAAAACAAATTCTAAGGTGAATTCCAACTCAGCCTGCATTAAAGCTACAATCCCATTTCTCTCTCCTTTATTATCTGCTGCCTTTCTATGGTAGCTGTCCCTTATAATGCATCTAAAGAAGTATAAAGACCATATAATAGAAAAATCTTAGTTGATCAATGTAACCATTAAACTTTAAATAGTCAAGCTTAATTTTACCTTGCTGAACGTAACGCTTAGAATATCATTTTTCTTTAATAAAAACAAGAACTTTTTAGCATGTCACACATATATTAATGTCACATTATTATAGTCTTTTTTTCACATACTGCATTAGGGAAAACTGCCCCAAAGATCTGTTTCTGATGAATGACTCCATCACATACAAACAGCTCAGAAGAGCAGGTATTTTTTAAACTAACCATTCTTCCCATGTCCAGACAATGGAAGTTAAGCGGCAGACTGATTGTTAGTGAAACACAGAATTATTTTATCCTCTCCCCTGCTACAGTTTTGCTTATTAACAGGCATTCTTTTAGAAAAGCTAAATGACAAAGAACCGGAGTAGCGGAACTCAGGAGTATTAGTTTTAATTAGCTGAAGTGAGCAAAGCTTAAGATGCTATTGCTTAAGCCATGGCCTGAGAGGAAACAAAACTATGTTAACACACTATCTGAAGCAGTTAAATGAATTTCCTGGGGAAAAATAGCACCAATTCTCCTCTTTTAAACACCTTGTAATAAATCTTACAGGAAATTCTCTATATTTAAAGAAATCAAACAGAGCTATAAGAGAAATTATAAAATTTCTTATAAATATCAGAATATGAGCACTTCACTAACAGACATACACTGAAGTTTCATGCAGCTCCTATCCATAATTCTGATACTAAATTCACAAGTTAAATGCACCATTTACGTACACTTACAAGTTATATTCACCATAAAGTTATGGCTTAGTTTTAAGTAGAATATTTTTAAATATTTAAGATGATTTTAATAACCAAGTAAGTTTTAACTACTGTGTTTTTACTCAAATTGTCATAATTTCAAATTCATGTATATATTCTTAAAAACAATCTTATAGCAAGAATTCAAACTCACAAATAATTTTAAATTTTGAAATGATAATCTGGTATAACAATATTCACATCTCTAAGTACTTTTTGCTACTTACCATCAAAAACTTTTGATATGTTATAGCAATTTGTAGCTTCACAATTCTTTCCAAATCTTAGTAGGTAAGTCACAAGATGTGAAAAATGCAAAGCCTGGTCAGTTTATTTTTTTTTTTTTTGACTATCATAAGCATGTGGATATCTCTTACTGAACTGAATGGTCTAACCATTAAAGGACCTAAAGAGCTGATCACATGGATAAAAAGCTCCACCAGATCTAAGTTCAAGAACAAGCAGACATACTTTCCCTATTTTAGTTTGGGAATTTTAATGTTCAGTAGTGAAAGCCCCACAGATTTCTCACTGCTCCTGTTCTGCCTTTCCTTCTTAACCACATAACAGATGCTTCATTTAAAAAATCATATGAAGACTGAAAATGTAGTGGCAGAAACTTTGCCTAGCATGTGCAAGGCCTTACATCCAATTCACGGTACCACAAAAAAGTTAAAATAAGCCGGATGTGCTGACCCAGCACCCGAGGAAGCTGAATGAGGAAGACTGCAAGTCCAAGACGAGTTTGGAAAACTTGGTGACTTAGTGAGACTTGGTTTCAAAATAAAAAATTCAAAAATGGCTGGGAATGGAGCTCAGTACCAAAGTCCTGGGTCCAATCCACAGTATCACAAAAATAAAAAACATGTAACACAAGACCAAGTAGCAGAAGTTAACTTGAAGTTCCCTAGCAATCAGGCAAGTATAAGATAACCGCACATACAAGCGTGCCCAGAACAGTCCCAGTCTAGAGCTCATACCCTGGGGTAATTATCAGTGGAATCCCATTTCTCTCAAATGTAGCATGTAAATTACACATAAACACATAAGGATACAACAACAGTTCTCACAGTGTAATCTGCAAAACCCATGGGGGGGGGCTGATACTCATTTCTATAAAAACAAGGCAATGTATGCCTTTTTAATCTCATTGAATATTTTTCTGTTTTGCTGACATTTTCATTGATGATTCAGAAACAATGAAGGCAGCAGCACCAAACCTCGCTAGCAATCACTGTGTTCCCATCGCCTCTCTCTGAGAGAAGAGAGAGAGAAAAGAAACAAAAACAGTAACAACAGCCATAAAGCAGCTTCACTTAAAAAGGCCCATAGCAGGACCTAAGAGTTATTAATTATACTAGATTTCAACCAGCAAATATGCTTTGCTTTTAATATTTTATGAGGAAATTGAAAGAATACATAAAGCATTTCTGCAGTCTACCAAAGCACAAAGAGAAGAATTTCTACTATCATTTATGTGTTGACCTAACCTCTCTTTGAAGAAACACCATTTTTATTTGAAAGAATGACAGAAACTATGATTTTTCAGACTTGGTTGGGCATTTGACTGACAGTTCTGAAAGTGAACTAAGTATTCTCATCACTTCAAGGGGAAAAAAAAACACTACGAGTATTTGTTTGCCAATGATAAAATTCAAGCAAAACTTCTGTCTTGGAAAATATGTGCCGGCTGTAGCAGATGAGATGTGTGAGGTACTGATGAATATGACTTTTTTATCTCTTTATCTGAGATCCTGCTAAGTCACTGTGTTCCCCAGGTTGGGCTTGAATTTACAATCTTCTGGCCAGTTCCTCGGGTACTGAGATTACAGGTGTGCCTCTGTCCCCACCTGACTTTATCTTGTATAACTTTTTAGCTTCATAAGTCAGTGAACCAACATTTTGAAAATAATCAACACATATTACAAAATTACACAACGTTAAAGAGCCATATAAAGTGCAAAATACAAGTCAATGAATTCTAATGTGATGGTCTGTTTTCCCCTTCTTTTTCATTTATCCCTATCAATCTTATATTTTCTTTGCATCATCTTGCAGCTGTTGAATTGTTATTTCTTGATTCCTTGTTATTTTTAAAAGATCTTTCTTGTTCACTAGCTGAAATCTTGTCTTCAAGGTCTGAAATTCTATCTTCACTTTCATTGAGGTAGTTGTTTTCAATGGAATTTTTGATTCCCTGTATATCTCTTTGAATCTGCTTCATGTATTCTGTTTGTTTCTTATATTGTTCATCCAGGTATTCTATCTTTTTGTTTTGTTCCTCTAATTTTTTAACTGTGTCTTCTTTAGATGTGTTCAGCATCTCTTTCATTACTTTTATCATTTCTTCTTTTACCTGGGAGATTATTTCTAGTTTGAACTCCTTTAAAGCTTCCTGAAGTTGTTTCTTTATTTCAGTTTCTATTATTTCAGATATTTCAGGTGTATGGCATATATTTTCTTCTATGTACGTGGCTCCTAGGCTTCCTTGGGATGGGCTGGAGGTTTGAGATTGCATTTTGGTCTTTCGTTTTGTCAGTTTCCTATATTTCTGTGTTTCAAGTGTTGGTCCAAAGCTTCCCCTGGGCATGTTGGAAATCGTCTCCTATGCCCTCGGCTCCTGGGACTGAATGGAGGTTGCTGAGCGTGGTCCAGTCAGGCCCTCAGGCCCTCCCGTGCCACCTCCAGTGTTCCAGGAAGCTGGGTGGGCACCTAACCACTGTAAATGATGGTCCAAAGCTCTCCCTGGCCAAGGACCAATGCCCTGGAACTCACTTCACATGCCCTCAACTCCCCTGATTGAAGAAGAACACTGGGCATAATCTAGTCGGGCCGCAACACCTCCCAAGGCTAGTCTAGTGTGGCTAGAAGCTGGGCAGGTCCTTGACCAGTGGGAGCAATGATCTTAAACTCTCCCGGGGCTCGGGATGGTGCGCAGGACTCACCGCAGCCAGCAGCTGAATTTCCCGGATTGAAAGAAGGTCACTGGGCATGGCCCATGCAGGTCTGAAACCTGCCAACCCCAGCCTACTGTGGCTGAAAGCTGGGCAAGTCCTTGACCTTGACCACTGGGAATGATGATCTTAAACTCTCCTGGAGCTCAGGATGGCGTGCAGGACTCACCCCAGCCGGTAGCTGAGTTTCCTGGATTCAATGTGGTGTTCTGAAAAGTTCTTGAATTTAGTTTCAGATTCCACCTTCTACTATGTTTTACTGTAGTATCAAATTACTTGAAAATGCTATTAATATATTCCATCATTTTTCAATTATGTATCTGTAAAAGGTAAAATTTTTCATGTATCTTAACAATAACATATAATAGATTACATGTAGAAATAGATATGAAACATAAAAAGAATAAAGTAGTGATTAA